CACCCAAGATTACACTGAAAATTAGCCGGTTATTCGCGGGGGAAGGGGGGTAAGTTATATAATTGTAAAAGACTGGAAACATGACCACACCTTATGCGTTTTATCGTAATTCACGAGTAGATCATATGTCTGATATTAGATAAGTTCGTTGACTTATACAGCTGTATTACTCCTGCTACTACTATAGTAGTAGTTGTACTGGATACAGTAATGTAACCCAATTCCCCAACACAAGAGAACCAGATTAATTCTACTTCAAGCAATATTCTCATTGTTATTACGTGACAGCTAGTATTGGTACCACAGTATAAATACAATAATGTAACCCAACAATTAAGCTATAGAGTAGGATTATTGTATCTATTATATTATTGTACTAGTACGACAGCTGTACATGTACAATCGCCCGTGATTGCATCTCCCCGTTTGTTATCCCAATCAGACCGTGTTTACAGACGTATCGGTTACTACACGAGTTTCGACCCATACGTGGAAATCTAGCAATACTCTCGTCAAAATATCCGTCATTACAACGACCACCCCCACGACAAGTATAAACACAACAGTCAACACCACCGCTGCTGTACGTGAAATGCCAGAAACGTAAACTAAGGCGTTGTAAATTATAGGGGAGCCTTACCTAGATCATCCATGTTTATGGCTGTGTATATTTCCCCACGTAAACAGTTCACGAAATGAACCTAAAACACGCATTAACACGGCGTGTAGACGGATATAGATGTGAATATTATCCGGTGAAGTACTGACGTACGTATGATCCTCTGTGCCTACGCTTCCGGCATCCGCAGGTAAAGTTCACACCTACACACATGACGGAGGTACACTCATTCGTCTGCCACGGTGCGCAGTGTCCGTCTGCGCAAGGTGAGAACTCCGTGACGTCATAAAAGTTTCACGCCGCTATATTTAAAATGCACTCTGCGTCGCGATACAAGCAAAGAGCCTATATTGACTTTTATATATATCAAGATAGGCTTATATAGGCGTGCGGTCGTGCGGTACTGTACGAGTTAAAAATGACTGCAATCCACGGTGGATGCACACACACGCAGATTCTGACGCATGATCAGATATCACACCAGCGCACGGTCAGAATTAATAATTAAATTATCGGGCATAATAATAATTGTATTGCACACCAACAGTGACTTCGCAATGATCAAAGCGCTGGACCCTAGCTTCCAGCCAAGCACCATGCATCCACCTCAGTCTGCATGCAGTTATGATGTGAATGGCGGCCGCTTTATTAGAGGCATTAGCAGCACCAGTAATCATTGATCCAGCATTAGTTAGATCAGGAGCACATGCGTCATAGTTATGTGCGTGGTTATATGGTATTTAGACATCACACTTGGATAGGAGGGTTTCATTTATTAATCTCAGGATGGCCGAGTGGTCTAAGGCGCCAGACTCAAGCGAGAGCTTTCCTGCATGCCGGGATCTGGGTGTTCTGGTCCTCGTATGAGGGCGTGGGTTCGAATCCCACTTCTGACAACATATTTTAATAACACGCCATTACAAACATGTTTTCAGAAAAATGAAAACAGAAACTAAATGCAAGCTTTTTGTCCTTGTACTCAACTAGCCCTCTCGCACATGCAAGTTTTTTTTTAAGTGCTCTAATTAGTATAGTATTTAATCTAAGTTGATGTAACATATGCCACATGATTTTAGCATTGTCATCTCCTATGACGCCTCAATCCTAACTAGCACGTGCTGCCATCTACGGACTCGATTTTTATTCTAGCATGTAGCAAGCACAAGTTCTGTTCTGTTTGGGTACTGCCAGCATGTCAAACAAAACAAAGAACACATACTAACCAGAAGTGTGATATAAAAAAAATACCTATTCACTTGAATAATCACAAGGAGGCCAATGCAATTACTACCGTGCAGGTTAGACTATGGCACTCTACAAATGTATTTTATTTATTTATTTATTTATTTATTTTATAACGAGTGCTAGTAAAAAGTGCTAGTTTGAACACGTGACACAAACCTCCGAGGAAACCACAAAAACACAAACGAGTTTTAATTTCCTACAAAAATGACCTTTATTGAATGACATCCTTTTTTCTTTCATTGGAAATCTAGCAACGTTATACACACTCATATCAAAAACAATATCTTCAACGGACTCAAATGTGGATCTTTAAACAGCAGCAGCACGACAGTACCCGCGCAATTAGTCAAGTTTTTAAATGTACAATTATTACAATTATTCTACACCGAAAGCTATTTATATACATTCACAGGCAGACGACAATCATGCCCATCACCAGGACAGTGAAAAATCTCTTTAACACGTATACACGTAGGGGCAGATACTGTGGTTTGAGGGGAAGGGGGGAGGGGAACAGTGACAAACTGTTTGGCAATATAGAATGACTACAAACAGCAGCAACATCTCAGGTTGACGAGTAAACTAGGGTCGCTTGTTGGGTAATGATGTACAGAGACAATGTAGAGATATGTGCGTGTATGGGCTGCTCCACACACCTCCACCCTCCGCTGCACATGCGCTGGCGGCCCGTCTACCCCTCCCGTGCACGTGCGCTGGCGCCCTCTACGCCTCCAGCTGGACGCGCGCTGCACCCTCTACCCCTGCGCCGCTGGCACGTGCGCGTGGCGGGCCCTCTAGGCCCCTCCCCGCTGCACGCCGGCGCTGGCTACCCATCCCTAACCGCCCTCACCGCTGGCACATGCGGCTGGCGCGCTCTACCCTCCCGGCTGCAGCGCAGGGCGATGGCGCCGCGTCTACCCGCTCCGCTGCAGCGGCGCGTGAGAGTGTGGTGATGTTCGTATTTGTTATTATTATGGTTCGGTTTGATTTTAGTTTCGTTTTGAGTTTTTCTTTTTATTTCGTTGCTCTGGGAAGGTAGTGTTGAAAGAGAATTATTCTACTCAAGAGAATCCTCTTTTTAATTTTTCTCGAGTAACATGCAGAAAGGAAGGGTAAGAGGCAATCGTGGGCTTCCTAAGAGTTCTGTAACATTGGGGACGTGTGGGTGCGGTGACGAGGAAGGAGGAGGAGGTTGAGGCGAGGAGAATTGGCGGAGGCAGAGGGTAGGCGATGCTGGGGCTGAAGGTAGACGAATGGGCAGCAGAACGCTGCTGAGGCGTTGCCATGGCGATGCGGTGTGACAGCGGGTTTCTTCTCGCAGATGAAGTCGTGGTCCGGCAAGCTTGGGCTAAGGGCTCACGATCGGACAGCAGCAGCAGACAGCAGGCTGAGGGACCTGCAGGCTTTCAGCAGGCATGTTTGCACGGCAACAAGAATGGCGGCGGCATCCGAACGACTGCAGAAGGTGGCGACGTTTGGCGCAGGTGGAGCGAGAGCTGTGTGACGAGGTGACGGTCATTGTTGTCGAGTCTCTGCACATTATTAGGCATGACAAGTGTTAGATATGTATGTGTGCAGTGTGTGCGTGGTGCGTGCGTGCGTGCGTGCGTGCGTGCGTGTGTTTTGTGTGTGTTTAGTGTGTGTGTGAGTGTGTCGACGTGTTTGTGTTGTGTGTTGTGTGTGTGTGTGTGTGTGTCGTGTACCTGCTACGCGTATTTCTATCTTGCTGGCGTGTATAGACAGAATTGTGTGTATATAACCTCTGTGTATACAAAGCACTGATCTCTCGTTAAACATGAAACTGTACATGAGCGACTGAACTCTTCCTTGTCGCTCTATCATGCGTAAGCGTCGGCAGAGTGCTGGCATTGCAGGTTTGGTGTGAAGGGTCAGCATCCGGCAACAGCTGAGTGCAGTAGCAGATAGTGCTAGGCAGCTGCAGTCACAGAAACACCTGCCTCCGCACCGTCACCGCTGCAGCAGATACCGAAGGCAGCTAGGTGGAGCCACTCTCCAGCAGGTGGCGGCCACAGGCCACTCGCGCAGTTCCAGCAGGTTGGTGGTCGTTGGCATGGCGCGGCGGCGGCGGCGGTGCGTGATTGTTCTAGGGGCATCGTTGCTGATTAACCCCCGGTTCTTAATTGATGGGTAGGGAGTAATGACAGTAGTGATGCTGGTACTAAATCAGCAGCAGTAGTAGCAGTAGCAGCAGCAGGAGTAGTAGTAGTATTAGTAGTAGCAGTAGCACGCGAGCAGCATAGCAGCAGCAGTAGTAGCGCAGCAAGCAGCAGTAGCAGCGAGTAAGCAGTAGCAGTAGGCACCAGCAGCAGCTGTAGCAGCCACGTTTACCTGGTCTAACGTCGTTGATTACAGGTAGCAAGACCGGCACAGACGCTCTTACCAGGCGGAGACGGCTGATGCAGGACGACTCAGGCGTCGCTCACTAGCAATCCGACAGCATCAGCGACCATCAGCTTGCGTTACCAGTCGGCGCGACGGCACAGCCATTCACGTCGCCCGCCACCGCCGTCGGCGGCACGAGCAGCGCTGCAGGCGCAGCTGCGCAACGTCGCCGCGTAACCGCCGAAGCAAAGCTGCAGTCGACGACGTTGACGGCGGCGCCCCCTGTCCCCGCTTACGCTCAGACCCTGCGTGCCGACCCTTCAGGTTCCCGCCCAGCAGGCGTTGGCGCCCGCCGGCAGCTACCGTCCCTACGCGCCGACCGCCGGCCCCGGCCGCCGCCGCAAACCCTGCAGAACTGCTACCCCCGCTACCCAGCACCAGGTGACGATACAGGCAGTTGCAAGCCCTACCACCGTTCCCTCCACCTCCCTCCAGGTGGCGCTGGGGAGTCCCGCGGCGCCGCCGCTGCAGACCATCATCACCCAGGTGGCGCCACCAATTAGGGTGGTCGAGTCGTCGGCGACGCAGGAAGCGGTGAGCGCGGCGGAGACGACTGTTACCACGGCAACAACGTCGGCGGCAGCGGCGTAACCGTGCAACGGGCGCCACGTCTGCGGCAGCGGCTGTGACAGTGCAGTCAGAGACGAAGTCTGCACCATACTCCATGCGGCTCCGCAACCCTCCCAAGTCATAAACACTGCGCGGGAAGGTCACGCGGTTAGAGGTCGCACGGGAAGGTCACGCGGTTAGAGGTCGCGGCGTTAGAGCGTCGCACGGTAAAGGTCATGCGGTTAGAGGTCGCAGGGAAGGTCACGCGGTTAGAGTCCACGGAAGGTCACGCGGTTAGAAGTCGTTTGGGAACGGTCAGCGCGTTAGAGTCGCATGGTTAGAGTCACACGGTTAGAGGTCGCATGGGAAGGTCACGCGGTTAGAGGTCGGCACGGAAGGTCACGCGTTAGAGGTCGCATGGGAAGGTCACGCGGTTAGAGGTCGCACGGGAAGGTCACGCGGTTAGAGGTCGCACGGGAAGGTCACGCGGTTAGAGGTCGCATGGGAAGGTCACGCGGTTAGAGGTCGCATGGGAAGGTCACGCGGTTAGAGGTCATGTGGGAGGGTCACTGGGTTAGAGGTCGCGTGGGAGGGTAACGGGTTAGAAATCGCGTGGGAAGGTGATGTGGAGGTGATGGGGTTAGAGGTCAGGTGGAAAGGTCAAGGGGTAGAGGTTGCATGGGAGAGTAATGCTGTGGATTGTCCAGTTAGAGGACGTCATCTCGCAGTCACGCGAGGTTAGAGGTGACATTGTTGCAACAGGACAACTGCTGAGGTCACGTGGCATACATTATATCAGACTGAGCTTTGATCTAATCTTGCTTGAGCCACTAATTCAATAGAAAAAATCTCTTAATTCAGCTTTAATGGCTGAATGTTGTAGAATAATTATGACTTAATATAATTTTCCAGCGTATTTGAATGTTTGGCTTGTGTCGGCATATCATTCTTGTTGCTGATATAATTTTATGTATGTGCATATGGTGTTCATGCGTATGTGTCCAGGCGTGTGTCTGCATACACGTCCAAATACACCCGTGTGTGAATGTGTGCGGTGCTTGCCTGCGTGTGCGTGTGCTGTGTATATGCACATACGTGTCTATGTGTGTGTGTGTGTGTGTGTGTCTGTGTGTGTGTGTGTGCATTTGTGTGTGTCATTGTATGCGTGGGTGTCGGTGTGTGCGTGGGTGTGTCTGTGCGTGTGTGCGTGCGTGCATGTGTGTGTCATAACTGTGTCGTGTTCAGTGTCTGTCGCTGAGAGAGAGAGATATTCAGGGTGCGTGGGTGGGGGGTGGAGGTGTGTGGAGCAGCCCATACACGCACATATCTCTACATTGTCTCTGTACATCATTACCCACAAGCGACCCTAGTTTACTCGTCAACCTGAGATGTTGCTGCTGTTTGTAATCATTCTATATTGCCAAACAGTTTTGTCACTGTTCCCCTCCCCCCTTCCCCTCAAAACCACAGTATACGTGTATACGTGTTACAGAGATTTTTCACTGTCTGGTGATGGGCATGATTGTCGTCTGCCTGTGAATGTATATAAATAGCTTTCGGTGTAGAATAATTGTAATAATTGTACATTTAAAACTTGACTAATTGCGCGGCGGTACTGTCGTGCTGCTGCTGTTTAAAGGTCCACATTGGAGTCCGTTGAAGATATTGTTTTTGATATGAGTGTGTATAACGTTGCTAGATTTCCAATGAAAGAAAAAGGATGTCATTCAATAAAGGTCATTTTGTAGGAAATTAAAACTCGTTTGTGTTTTTGTGGTTTCCTCGAGGTTTGTGTCACTTGTTCAAACTAGCACTTTTTACTAGCACTCGTCATAAATAAATAAATAAATAAATAAAATACATTTGTAAAGTGCCATAGTCTAACCTGCACGGTAGACCTGCACGCGTTGGCCTCCTTGTGATTATTCAAGTGAATAGGTATTTTTTATATCACGCCTCTGGTTAGTATGGGTTCTTTATTTTGTTTGACATGCTGGCAGTAC